GCTTATGTGACTGCAACCACTCGTTGGTCCAATCCGGTGAAGTGTGACTGAGGCTTAACCTACGCTACGGCTGTCTCAAGAAACCGGGAATGGTGATGGTATTAGGCGGGCAACGACGATCATTCTTTTTTAAGTTGCGGGTACTATAGTCCACTTTTTACCCCAAGGATATTGCGAACAGAAGGTTGAAGTTTTTTCACAAGAATATGTTTCACCGATGTGTATTTTACAGCCTGAAAATGTGCGGTAAGATCTGCTAATTCAATTTGAAATGTGTAAAATGTGAAAACTTATATTTTTCGGAAATTACTGGTGGGCCAAATCTTTAAGGCTGGTGGGCCATTTCGGGTCACTGGTGGGCCATTTGGCCCACCAGTTAACATGTTAGCCGAGGCCCTAGTTCTGGTGAAGGTCAGGTGAAGGTCAGGTCAAATCAGGTCAAATTTCAAAGTTGATATTTTTGCAAAAATGGGTATCGATTCGATGCAGCTTGTCACGGGGAGTTCAATGGTGGTCTTTGTTTTGCCCTACGTGGTCTAGACTCGCTAAAAATTGAGTTCAAAAATTTGACATCATCATTTTTGAACAGTTTTTTTCGCTATAACTTGGCCAAAAAACGAGATATCGATCTGTAATTCGGTATGTAGGTATATAGAAGAGCGCAGGGACTGTCCCATATATTCCGTTTTTTTTCGAAATTCGGAAACCTTTAATGGACTTTTTTTAGCTTTTCTAAAAAAATCATTTTTTTATTTATAGGAACAAAAAAACAAAATTTTGAAAACCCGAGATAGCAGTTTTGTAGCACCGCTTTTTATCTACATGACCATATAGAGAACTTTGAAATTGCTTGGTAACTATAGATTTGATGAGCGTTTCAAGATTGCATGTTTTTTGCTCATTTTTGCTCGAACATGACCTCAGTTTGACCTCAATAACTCCTGACCTAAGGTGACCTAAGACTTGAAATTTTGTTTGAATGTGTCAAATTGATGCCCGGGAAGGTAATAAAAATTTGGCGGCGCTGCGCGCCGCCGTTTTCTTGCTATCAAGGAAAAACCACAGGGGGGCCTAATTGCCACCCCCTCCCCCAACGGGGCGAGGGTTAATTATTTCGTTCCTTATCAGAAATCAGCAGGCAGAAGACAAACAAAAGTTGTTTCAGTTGCGAGTGTATTTGGACTGGACAGAGCTGGGTTTGATCGTTAGCGTTGTTACTGCGTTCAGCTGTGTTCAGCTGTGGTCGTTTCGGATCGGCGCGGTGGTCGGCGCGTCCATGAGAGAGCGCTTAGTACTCCTCGCCCTCATCCTCGGCCTCGGCAGAGTCGATGCCGACCTCCTCGTAGTCCTTCTCGAGGGCGGCCAGATCTTCACGGGCCTCGGAGAACTCGCCCTCCTCCATGCCCTCGCCGACGTACCAGTGCACGAAGGCGCGCTTGGCGTACATCAGGTCAAACTTGTGGTCCAGGCGGGCCCATGCCTCAGCGATGGCGGTGGTGTTGGACAGCATGCAGACAGCGCGGGAGACCTTGGCCAGGTCGCCGCCGGGCACCACGGTCGGCGGCTGGTAGTTGATGCCGACCTTGAAGCCGGTCGGACACCAGTCGACGAACTGGATGCTGCGCTTGGTCTTGATGGTGGCGATGGCGGCGTTGACGTCCTTGGGGACGACGTCTCCACGGTACAGCATGCAGCAGGCCATGTACTTGCCGTGGCGCGGGTCGCACTTGACCATCTGGTTGGCCGGCTCGAAGCAGGCGTTGGTGATCTCGCCGACGGAGAGCTGCTCGTGGTAGGCCTTCTCCGCCGAGATGACCGGAGCGTAGGTGACCAGCGGGAAGTGGATACGCGGGTAGGGCACCAGGTTGGTCTGGAACTCGGTCAGGTCCACGTTCAGGGCTCCGTCGAAGCGCAGCGAGGCCGTGATGGAGGAGACGATCTGGCCGATCAGACGGTTTAGGTTGGCGTAGGACGGACGCTCGATGTCGAGGTTGCGGCGGCAGATGTCGTAGATGGCCTCGTTGTCGACCATGAAGGCGCAGTCCGAATGCTCCAGGGTGGTGTGGGTGGTCAGGATGGAGTTGTAGGGCTCCACCACGGCCGTGGCCACCTGCGGCGCCGGGTAGATGGCGAACTCCAGCTTCGACTTCTTGCCGTAGTCGACGCTGAGACGCTCCATCAGCAGCGAGGTGAAGCCGGAGCCGGTGCCGCCGCCGAACGAGTGGAAGATCAGGAAGCCCTGCAGACCGGTGCACTGGTCGGCCAGCTTCCTGATGCGGTCCAGCACCAGGTCGACGATCTCCTTGCCGATGGTGTAGTGTCCGCGGGCGTAGTTGTTGGCGGCATCCTCCTTGCCGGAGATGAGCTGCTCCGGATGGAAGAGCTGGCGGTAGGCGCCCGTGCGCACCTCGTCCACCACGGACGGCTCCAGGTCGACGAACACGGCGCGCGGCACGTGCTTGCCGGCACCGGTCTCGGCGAAGAAGGTGCTGAAGGAGTCATCGCTGTCTCCCATGGATTTGTCCGAGGGGATGGTGCCATCGGGCTGGATGCCGTGCTCGAGGCAGTAGAGCTCCCAGCAGGCATTGCCCATCTGGCAACCAGCCTGGCCCACATGGATGGAGATGCACTCGCGCTGAAACAGAACGGTGCTGTGGTTAGGAAGTGCTTTGACGATGGATGGGTGGACAATGCCCGATGCTGAGCCGTAGACCCCAATCAAAGGAATTTCCTACATTGTCAGACAAACGTCAGTATTCGACATTGTTCAAATTACTTCGCTCGTTTCTATTTTCAATATCCGGCACAGAGTTTCTTACAACAATTACCTAAATGACAAGACACCATGGCAACACAATATCATGCCACTGCTGCTCCCTCCACGGGCGACAGTCGCGACGTCCCCCACGCCGCATGGGCCCTCGCAAACCCTGGACTTTGTACCAAGGCTCGATACCGATAAGATAGAATACGTAACCGTCAGGCAGCTTATTTCCCGCTACCGTCCGAGACAAAAGAACCAGCTACCACAGCCTTCTGAATAGCTGCACCCGCTGCCGCGGGACAGGTTATTTCCTCCGCCTTGTAACGGCACTCTTGCGGCGCGGTGCGGCGGCCCGTTCGTCCGCCCGTCCCGTCCCGGCTCTCCAACGAGCACAACGGCCGGCCTACTTTCACCAGCACCCTTCCCTCGACGAGACGGGCGTCTGGCGGCATCGGTAATGAGTGACACGTGCCTCTGAAAGATGCCATAGCCTCCAGACTGATGCAGCGAGGACACGCCCAGACGTGGCGCCGGCCTTTATCGATTTTCACGGAGCCGCGCCTCGTCGGAGGCCTGCCCAGCTGTGCCCTAAATAGCTTATTCCTAGCCTGACAGCCAGACACTGAATATGTAGCTGGGATGATAAGAATGGCCAGCGTAAAACTATTTTTTCGGGTAGTGCCGTCTCTAAAATCCCAATTTTACTAGCATGGAAAGCCCCTATATCTCCCTAACACGGTCACATGTTCTATATGAATTACTTCGTAGCAAAGATTAGAACCAGACTCACCATGATTGCTGGAGTTGATTTGTTCTGTCGTTAGAGGATCGACCCTAGGCTGGGTTACGGAGCCACGCGATCTAACCTCTTCCGACCGAAACTTTCAAATTCTCTGGCGGCGGCGCAGGACGCGGCCCTCATTTATAGCCTCAGCGCTGCCGGCCTCTGATTGGCTGACTGCAGCGGACGTGGCGGCGCCCGCGGCCGTGGGCGTCGGCGGGCGGCAGCGGCGGCGGCGGCGGGTCGCCCACCGACTCTCTGGGTTAGGTAATGGCTGGGCCGTGCTGCACCACAGGCCACGGCCGGCCGACCGGCGCCCGGCGCTGCATGCCGCGAGTGAGGACGGCGCTGTGGGCTCAGCATTGAATTTTAGTGGCCAATGGCCATGGTGGTATGTTCGTTTCTTTTGATGTGCGTATTCGAATAGTGAAATTCTGAGACGAATGTTCCAGCATCAAAATCGGCACCGTCTACCGGTCAGCACTGAAAGGATGGGCAAGGTGCATGGTGGCTGGTGGCGGTGCCCTGTAGACGCTGATTACTTTGATCGCAATCGCTATTGTGATTTGGGCTACGGTAATGCACCAAACAGCTTACTATTCAGGCTCTCTTGTTTCTCTCATGTCTGGTGCTGTGACTGCCTGGAGACTGGGGTATCTTTTTGAGCTTTAGCTTCGGAATGGCACAGCCTGCTCTAGTAAAAAGACGTCGCGATAATTCTTTCTCTTTTATGCAGCTTTTTTAAACGCATGAAGTTCATGATCGGTTTGCGTGAATTCTGCTCGATTGGCCACAGCTACACCTTTATTATAAAAGGTTTACAGAACTATATAAAGTTTGACTGAATGGTGGGCATCAGGGTCAGCCAAAACTGGCATCTCTATTAGGTAATCGAGGGCGGCTCTACGGGGTTTTGATCGGCCACCTGTGTGTATTTGGACAGCTGAAGACGCTATTTACTAACGCACAGCTGGCAGCAGGTTACCAGACACTCTGCCGACGGTGAATGACCTGCTGACCGCGACCTGATGCCCTCGGGGCGTGCGGCGGCCGGCGGTCGGGAGGCTCACCCCTCAGCCGTGCTCTGCGCGCCCGGCGCTGACGTCACAGCCGCTGCAGCTGCGGCTAGGAGGTTCGGCTGGTCTGGTGACTGGTGAGTCATACAGGCGGGTCCCGCACTGAGGCCGGATAATGGTCTCAGCCGGCAGCGCTGCAGGACTCTGGTTTGGACAGAAAAGGCAGCCCGGCAACGGCTGATACCAAACATGGGTTGAGGAACAAAACGGACTGGGTACGGTGCGATACAATACGGTAAAAATTGTGCGCAAATTTATATTGGCGTTAAGGCACTTTTGTGTCAGCCACGGAGCGATTTATACAGGACTTCAGCGTAGTGAGGTAAAAACACTGAAGGACGACGGACCTGCCGAATTCAGAGCTTGTTCAAAGATGAGCCTCATTTAACGTATAAATTTATTCATATGCATTCAATTTAACAATAAATTTTACACCCTTCCCTTTTGTCACGAAATGTTGGCCGAACTGAACCGAAAGTAACCCTTTGTTGTCGTTTTTTATTTGTTTGTTTCGGCGCTCAGGTTCGCTGGTTGTTCTGGAGCGCCAGCAGCTTCTGTCGTTTCTCCTCCATCAGTTTGTCTCTGTGTTTGTGGATGTAATCGGAGACGTTCGGCGGCCCGATGATGACACACGCCGACAGCGCCGACCGATAGATGTTCATGTCGGTTGCTTCATACCTGCGGTAAAGAGAGGACACCAGACGGTCAGATGAGGGGTAGGTTAGTGCTGAGAAATAAATTAACTTTTGAAGACTGACCGATTTGCATCAAGTTGTTTAGAGGCGAACAGGTAAATAGCATGATTGATCTATGCCTATAATGAATAAAGAAAATTGAAATCCAGTTGTTTTGGGAAGTGTGCAGGAGCCCTGGAAGTGTGCAGACGTGTTTTGCTGTGCTCTAGAAAACTTGGATTTTAGCCGATAATAGCTTGTTTTCATTAATGTATTATATATTAGCATGTTCCTAATTTAACGTAGATGCTATGGAACATACTTTTGTGTCATATAAGTATAAGATGAGTCTGTATTCTTACATCTAAAAGTTGATTTTTTTCTAGTCTTTGTTTAAAAAAACTCAGTAAAAGTAGGGCAAAGTGCCCTTGATTTTCGTAGGAAGGCTCGTGCAGCTAAATAGAGTAGTTGTTCGTTTTCAAGATACCATTAGCTGAATTATGAACGACTCTGTTGGCGAAGATTCTGAGACATCCTCACTCATTGAAGGATTTGATCCATTCTTTGAAGAGTGGGTTGTAGCGAACAAGCGTAAGAGGAACAGAAAGGGCAAAAAAGCCGGTGCCTTGCCCTCTAGTAAAAGCGTGCCAAAGGTCACGGGCAATGTTATTTGTAATGGATCCGAGGGTAAGCCTTGCGGAAAATCGGTTTCGAACGACGTTTTTGGTTCAATCAGATGCCAAATATGCATGACCTGGTACCATCCAGCTTGCCAGGGCCTGGAGGAGGAGGCGTACAAAGCGATTACTCGATTTGGTCTCCTTTGGCTGTGCGAGGAATGTGAAGATCACGTGCAGGATTTCCGCAATCTTGTGCAGGGAAAAGTGTCAATTGAAAAGAAGATGGATGCGCAATTCTCGAGTGTAGAGAGCCAGATGAAGGAAATGCACCAGGCTATTCTGGAAAACACTGCTATCCTAAAACAACAAGAAAAAGCCGCAGGTGATCGAATGAGGCTGATTGAAGGATGCATAAGCGAGAAAAAGTCACAGGAAAGTACCTATGCCGAAATAGTGAGAGGTTCGTGCTCCGAAGTTATAAGTGAAGTGTCCGCTAAGCTGTCAGCCTTGCCACTCTCTGCCACACCTCCAAACGACGTCCCAAGTATAGCCAAAGTCGTTGACGACTTTTTCGACAAAGACAAGCGAAAAAAGAACATCATCCTGCACAACCTCCCGGAGCCGAGGGCTGGAACTTTGGAGCAGAGGTCCCAGGAAGACATCAACCAATTTTTGGAGATGGTCAAGGAAACCTTTCGACTACGAGTTAACGTGGCCAGATCCTTTCGGGTCGGCAAGGCTAACCCTGACAAACCCAGACTGCTCGTGGTAACGCTGGAGAACGAGGACATAAAGCAAGAACTGCTGAAAATGGCCCCGCAGCTCCGCCATTCAGTGCGATGGGGAAACATATACCTCTCCCCCGACCAAACTAAGGTGGAGCGCGAGGCTTCTAGGAAGTTGAGAAATGAGCTCCGCTCTCGCAGGGCAGCCGGTGAACAAAGCCTTGTAATCCGCAACGGGAGAATCATTTCCAATGACAGGCCAGTTTCACATGCCCAAGCCGGTCGGAGGTTCGATAGTGCAAGGGACAGTGCCAGATCCATTACCTTGCCAGTCGTCCGGTCGTCGGCTGCAACCCATGACTTGGTTCCAGCTGATGCATCAGCACGTAACGATACCTCCCGTGTGTTATCTTTGGATGTTACGGTGTCTGATGGCTGTCCTCCAGAACCTCAGCAAGCGTGACTGCCCGTGAAGAATGTCTCTGAGGGCACTCGGTGCCTACGTATTTGGTACACAAATGCGGACCAATTGTTGAACAAGAGGGATGATTTGTGCATGACTATTTGTGGTGAAGATCCCGATATCATTTTCATCACTGAAGCGCTACCGAAGGTGCGGATGTCGTCAGTGCCCCTTGTCTTGTTCTCTGTGCCTGGTTATGAAGTGCACACCAACTTTGATGATACCAATTACCTTGGCATTCGAGGCATATGCATCTATATTCATCATCGACTGAAAGTTTCCAACGTACATTTTCCAGATTCAAGATTTAAAGAGCAACTTTGGGTACAATTGTGCTTGGAAAACAACGACGTGCTACTTGCCGGATGCATTTATCGCAGCCCCTCAGGCGACCCCCATCGAAGTGTTGATGATTTGTCTTGCTTACTCCAAAATGCGATTTCTCTCAAGCACACTCACCTGCTCATTGTTGGGGATTTTAACATTCCTCAGATTGACTGGGAAAACAACTTTTGCAGCGCATCTGAAGCACATTTTGCCAACAAGTTTTTGTCTGCCGTTCAGGATGCATTCCTGTTCCAGCATGTCACCAAGCCTACCAGATTTAGAGAGGGTTGTAGGCCTAGTATACTGGATTTGGTGTTTACAAATGATGAGAATATGATAACAAAGATCAAATATTGTCCTGGATTAGGAAGGAGTGATCATGTGCTACTGAAATGCGATATTGCCTGTTACAACAAAAAATGTTCTTCTGCCGGCTTGAAATGGAATTTTCACCGCGCTGACTTCACGGCCTTGCGTGTAAAACTACATGCAGTTGACTGGAGCTGTTTGTCAACCATGAGTGTAGACGCGGGTTACAAGTGGTTTAGGAGCAAACTTGAATCGCTGATGAGTGAGTGCATACCCAAAGCAAGAAACGTCAAGTCTAAAAAGAACGTTTACATGAATAGCCGTTCACTAAACCTCAAGAAGAAGAAGAAGGTACTGTGGTCAGTGTACATGAGAACGCAAGACCCCATCGACTATAGCAGATATAAGATTTGCAGAAATAAGCTTAGGACATTGACTCGCCAGTTAAGGAAAGATTTTGAAGCTAAGATATCAGCAAACATGAAAGAAAACCCGAAGGCTTTTTGGAAATATGTGAACAGCCGCCGTAAAGTTAAATCAAGTATTGGTGATCTAAGAAACGACCAGGGCCAGCTTGTTAGCGAGGAAAAAGAGAAGGCCTCGCTCCTGAATGACGTCTTCTCAGGCGCATTCACTATTGAAAAAACGGATGTCGTGCCACAACTAGCAAACCGTTACACAGGGCCGCCGCTGATCGATATACCAGTCAACCTTTTCACAGTGAAGCAAAAGCTTAAAGCACTGAACCCCAATAGTGCCCCAGGAGCTGATGACATTCACCCCCGCGTTTTAAGGGAATTGAGTGGTCCTCTCTCCCTTCCCTTGACCTTACTGTTCCGAAAATCGCTTGAAACTGGGTCTATTCCTGCAGACTGGAAGCACGGTAAAGTCATACCAATCTTTAAGAAAGGTGAAAAGGAAGACCCAAGAAACTATAGACCTGTCAGCCTCACATCTGTTCCCTGTAAGATTCTCGAGTCGCTCATTCGTGATTGTTTAATGGACCATTTGCTGTCAAATGACCTGCTGTCCAAGGACCAACATGGCTTCCGCCCGAAGCGATCTTGTGATACGCAACTGCTTGACTCTATAGACTCATGGAGCCGCCTGTTGGAGGACAAGACGGAGGTCGAAGTGATTTACCTTGACTTCCGAAAGGCGTTCGACTCCGTCCCACACAAGAGACTGATAGGCAAGCTGCGCTGTTATGGTATTGGTGACCGAGTGTTGTCTTGGATTGAATCATTCCTGGAAGACAGAATGCAGCAAGTGTCCCTACATGGAAACCTGTCAGATTTGGTCCCTGTGCGCAGTGGTGTGCCCCAAGGCTCAGTGTTGGGCCCATTGCTCTTCTTGCTCTATGTCAATGACTTGCCAGATGCTGTCACTTCAAATGTGCGAATGTTCGCAGATGACACAAAGCTGTTCTCAGGCATCTCTTCTGAACATGATGTGCGGACACTGCAGGCAGACCTGAACGCCCTCGTGGAATGGTCTAGAACTTGGCAGCTGCCATTTAACGAGAATAAGTGCAAAGTGCTTCATGTTGGTGCAGCCAAGGACCACCACTCATTTCAAATGGGGTCGGACAGACTGACAAACACGTCAGTCGAGAGAGACCTGGGTGTGCAGGTCGACTCAATCTTGAAGTTTCGACAGCAAGCGTCTACGGCGGTCTTCAAAGCGTCTCAAGTTCTTGCGGTCATCCGCCGGTCCTTCGCCTTTTTAGATGAATTTACCCTGCCTCTTCTGTTCAAATCTCTCGTGCGGCCTCACCTGGAGTTCAGCAGTCTTGTTTGGGGTCCGTTCAATAGAGCTGATCAGAAGGCAGTCGAAAGGGTTCAAAGAAGAGCCACCCGGCTAGTGGTGAGCATCCGCCACCTTCCATATCCTGAAAGGCTGAAGAGACTGAAGCTCCCGTCACTGTACTATCGGCGTAGACGCATGGATATGATTCACGCATACAAGATGCTGCACGGCCACGTTGATACTGATCCTTCAGAGCTTCTGGCAACGAATCCTGAAAGGCGAACTCGGGGTCACACACTTAACCCTCGCCCGTAAACGGCGATCTGCCACCTTCGCCCATGCAGGGGGGGGGGTTGGTGCGACCCCCCCCTTGGCGTTTGAAAACGGAGCGTCGTAGAGCTTAGCGGAAAAGACCAACGGATTGCTCTCGCCGAGATCTCGCGATTGGTGGTATATTTTTTGGTCCTAGGTCAACATTTGACCTACTTTTGACCGGTCAAAGGTCAAATTTTCGGAAAAATAGACTTTTTTCAACTTTCCGCGGCGATTGCGGCAAAACGGTGGGAGATATCGACTTGAAACCTTCACTATCGTGTTCCTTGATCAATTCTCTATCGTTTGGTATGTATTTCGTTTCCCTAGCTCTAAAAATGGCGCGTTGGGAACGCCGGAACTCGGCAAGGTCACAGTCGGCGGCGGAAATTCGAAAAATCAAAATTTAAATTTTTGAAATCTGATTGTATTTTTGGATTTGGAAGGTCCATTTGCTCCCTATAGAAGCTAATATTGCTGCATATTCCCATTGAGGTGACAAGAATTAGCAAAATAGTGGTTCGGGCGCTTTTCAAAAATAGTACCGAACGCTGTTCCTCTTGTGACGTCATAGCTCCGTGACCTGACCTGACCCGGTCAAGTTTCTTATACCATATGATAGCCAATACTTGCCCCAACATGCATGGGAAGTTTCATCACGATCCATCAACCGATGTCCGTACCACCGGCAGGAAACCTCGGGCGTTGGCACTCAGTTTGTGAAAATCCGGCCGGAGGCTGTTCCCTTTGTGACGTCATAACTCCGTGACCTGACATGACCCGGTCAAATTTTTTTTATCAAAAGATGCGCAAGGCTTGCCCCATAAGGTACCCAAAATTTGGCGGCGCTGCGCGCCGCCGTTTTTGCACTATTTCCGAAAAACCTCAGGGGGGGGTTGCACCAACCCCCCCCCTACATGGGCGAGGGTTAAACTACGGAAGCCTCGTGCAACCTGCCGTGCCAGACTGAATTCATTTTCTGTGCGGTGTATTAACGATTGGAACGGGCTTCCAGCAGAAATTGTACATTCGCCCTCAGTCAACGTCTTTAAGAACAGGCTGGATGCACACTGGGAGTCGATCTGGTACTCCACTCCTGTAACAGACTGAGTACTAAGTGAAGTTATGGAAATCGGCGAGAACGGGCCCTACAGGACATCGTGCCTCTTGCCCCGATAACACGAAGATGAAGATGAAGATGTTTAGAAGTTGCCCAAAGCAGCTGGAATACCGAAAGTCATAGCATTTCGCAATAAACGCGCAATAGCTTTTTTGTAGCTCATGTTCAACAAATACCTATTTTTGTCAACAGACAAAGGACCAACCATATTGAGCCATAAATTACAAAGGACCGAATTGTTAGAATCGTTGAAAGTTGAGACGAATTAAAAAAAAAACTTTGCTATGGCGTCCGGCCCATGCTGCAATCAAAGACTCATGGTGAAAACTGTAAGCTAAATAGTTGCAGAAGAAAAAAAGCACTTACCATTCGCTGTTCTTGTCGTCGTAGCACTCCACGTGATAGATGGTCGTTACGCCGTTGAATCCACCGATGGCGAATATCATGTCGTCGATCACCTCGATGGCGAAGTTCGACCTCGGATTATACATGTCCGGAATCGGAGTCCACGTTTCCGTCTCGGGGTTATACTTCTCTCCACTGCACATTCTCGAGATTCCATTGAATCCACCTGCAACACTCGTAAATTTGAAGGAAGTAATCAGTGTAATTGATTGATACGCTGACTGACAAACTAAGAGCTAAAGCTTATTTTGAAAGTGACCAACAATGTGAGCACCAATATTCCTTCCTTCCCAGCACCAAATACGGTGTAACTAAGGTTTCATTTCAAATTGTTGGATTCAATTCATTCAGCAACTCTTCATTCATTTATGCATACATTCAACAATTATTCACTCATTCATTCATTCATTCATTCATTCATTCATTCAACAATTATTCATTCATTCATTCATTTATTTATTTATTTATTTATTTATTCATTCATTCATTCATAAACCAGACAGTTTCACCGTGAGAGATTATCGACATAATGCCGCGTTATCGACAAACCCCTCGGACAGCACGACAGCATACCGCGGGGGCCCCGGCCACTGACCGAGCCTCCTATTCCCCACCTTTCCCATTCCATTCCCCAGTCCCCATCTTTAACCCTGACACTGTAACAGTCCGGCGGCTGCGGCCACTGACCGAGCACGTAGAGCTGGTTGTGGTAGCCGATGCAAGAGACTCCCGAGCGCCGGCACCGCATCGGCGCCAGCATTGTCCACTGGCTGGTCTCCGGGTCGAACATCTCACTCGAGTTCATGCACTCCTGGCCGTTGAAGCCGCCCGCGATGTAGATCTTCCCTAACCAAAAACTGTGTTAGGTGACATGACATGCCGGGGACTGGTGCGGCGTTGACAGGGAATAATGTTTCTAAAGTAATTGACGGTGCAATTTTCCTGTTTTGAAAGATGAGCCAGAAAATTACATTCTAACGCTCCTTGCATTCGTTACATTCGGATAAAGAAATCAGCTGATTTTAAATACTAATTAATGTTGCATGTAAACCAGCGTGCAATGAAAAATGAGCAACAAATGAACATTATGCAATGCATCTACTCGTATGCTGCACTATGGAAAATGTTCAACTGCGCTCTGAAAGGCCGCTACGAACCATTGAGGGTAGTGGCGCAGGCGTCGGAGCGCTGCATGTGCATGGGCACCACCATGGACCACTGGTTGGTACGGGGGTTGTAGCGCTCCACCGTGTTCTGACGGTGGTGGCCGTCGTAGCCGCCCATCGCGTAAATGTAGCCGTCCAAAATACCCACGCTGACGTAGCATCTGCCAGCATAGGATGCAACTATACAGTCTTGTTGCTGCTCTCGAGCGATTTCTATATAACAATAATAGTTACGAAATATAAGCAGTTCGCTTTTGATGCCCGATATCTGTGCTGTAGCAGTCCAATTCACAACGATTGATCCTACAGACAGACACGATGATCTCATCAAAACACCGCATTTTTTTGCTACGTAAATCAAACATCCCAACTACTGATAACTCGCCTGTCTCCAACCGTCAGATGACATTGAACATCCCATATATAACGAATGAAACGAATATGAAACGAATCTTAATTTAACGTAGAATATTTTGGTGGTATTTGCAGTTGAGTTGAATGGTGAAATAATTGAATTATAGGCTTAAAAAAAAATGATTATTTTGACCCAGTTTTGAAATTTTAGACTCACCACCGCGTTAGTTCTGCTCTAGATTTTTAGTAGTAAGTCTCGTGCTAGTTCTGAAGAGAGATCCTTATAGCCAATAATGTCAGACTCTGACACCTCGGTTAATGGCTACGATCAAACAGTGGGAGAATGGGTTGTGGCGAAAAAGACCAAACGGGGCAGGATAAGCAAGGCGAAAATCGTAGCATCAACGATTACGGACGCTGAAGAAACTGTACCGAAGAGCATTTTTTGTCCTACCTCTCCTCTCACCAATCAGCCTACCGCGACCCCCGAACAGCTGACGAGTGCGACTAACTCTACGCATACCGGCGAGAATGACGACAAAGCATCCCACGACAGGGTGGCGACGAGCGCGAGGGCGCCGACCCTGGACCAGCTGATCCCCACTAGTGCGACGTCAGCCGACAAGAAACGTCTAATCGCTGAGTCGGATTGCATTTTCAGTGGGCGCTACGACCCAGCTGCGGTGTGCTGTATCATGGCATCCATGGACGAACCCGACCTGAGAGAGCTCCGAGAACTGCTGCATGCTGCGCTGTCTTCGGTCATCCCGGCTGTCGCCGGCCGTCCTCTCTGCCGCCGTGTTACCGGCAACTTGGCTGGCCTAGCGGATGACTGCTGGACCTTGGGCTACTCGGCGGCTCAAGGTATGCTGACACAGCGTGCTAATGCTGCCACTCTGAAGCCAGCGGGTCGCAATCCCCTGCCACCCCCCGGTCCCACCCGGAGCGCGCCCTCGGACTCTGCTATGTCGTGCCCCAGCGCGATAACTTCGTCACTCGAGGCGATCATATCCACCCAGCTGCGAATGGAGAATGAAATTAGGGAGCTTCACGCTCGTCAAGCTACCCAGGATGCTTACAAAACTCGTCTGAAACAGCTGGAACTGGAAATAACTGGTCTCCGCAGAGAATGTGCTGCTAGAGATGACACGATTGATCAGTTGAAGGTCCTTGTAGAGGGGCTGCTAGCCCGTGAGGGCCCACAGCCACGCCGGCCAGTCACCCCTGGATTACAGGTGCAGCCGGGGCGACATGACAGCGATGCGAGGTCCGCTACTAATGATGCTACTGCTGTAACTGAAGAGGCTCACTCTGACCGCACCGCCGCCCGCGAGATTGCCGCCAACTTGGATCTGCGTGCCCTGGGTGAGGCGATCGCTGGTGCCCTGCATTGGCGGGTCGGCGATTCAGACAGTGAGCCAGAGCAGCAGAACACGCATACCGTGTCTGAGCGTAGGACAGCGCAGCCCGCGAACCACAGTCAAGCAGCAGTGCCGACTGCGGCACCGACCAGCGACACGTCTGCCGCGGCTCCAGGCGGCCCGACACGGCGACAGAGCATGGTGACCGGCTCTGGTCCCCCATCGGCTCTGATTCAGGAGCCGCCTCGTCAAGAATCTCGGAAGGAGAAGTTCATCCTGGAGGGCTTCCGTGTGGATGTTGCTGACAGTGACGTGCGGAGTCTGGTCTGGACGGTTGTTCGCAATCTCCATGATTTCCAAAGGGTGTCACGCCGCGGTCCTGCTGCCTCTGTAAGCAAGGCGTTCAAGATTGAGGTTGATGCTGAGGACACCGATCGTATATTGGACCCGTCCAGCTGGCCGACTGGCCTGGTTGTGCGCCTTTTACCTCAGCCTGTGAACACTGGGCGCCGAGGACAGCGTTTTCGCCGTCCTGCGGCCTCATCTGGAAGATCACAGACGACCCGGAGTGCTGCAAAAAGAACTGAACATGGCAATGCTAACTGGCAGGCGACGGCCCCGCGCCGTTACAGTGATGTGGTCAGAGGCATTGAACACTGTGACACTGCCTGGACGGCGGCCGCCCAACGCCGGGACGAAGATGAGACCCGCCGGGAAGCAGTCACCTCACAGCGCTCCAGAGCCCCGAACAGAGACTGCACTCACGGCGTCGGTACATCTAGCGCGGTCGACGCTGTCGGCGGCGACGGAAGTAACGCCACACATGATGACGGTGGCTGGGAAGAGGAAAGGCCGCGCCGTTATGGACCATTCGTGCCAGCTAGATACCATGGACACCAAGATGACAATGCATGGGTGTCAACCTATCAGCGCCGTGATGGAGACGGACACTGGGCAACAGCCGCCTCTCACCGCCCAGGCGCCCCTAGTCGAGGCAGCGAACAGGACGCCGGCGCTCCCTGGGTTCCAGCTGCCTCCCGTCACGTTACAGGAGGCGCCACACACGGTGGCAACGGCTGGAGGGCGACTGCTTCGCAATGTGACGGATCCGGATACCGTGGGTGGCCCTATCAGCGCGCACGAGAGGCCACCTCCTGGGAATAGCGCCCAGATGGCTTCTCCTGGGGGCCATCCCTGTCCTGCTGCCACCGCTGTGAAGCATGACAGAGCGGAGTGCCGTAATGCTGTGGACGCAAAAGTAACTCTGAACATGAGCCTCACTCTGGGCACTTATAACTGCGAAGGATTTCTCGCAGGAGCGCAGTATATCGCCGACTGTCTAATACCTGAATGTGATATCTTATTTTTATGCGAAACCTGGCTAGCCCGTGCCCAGGGTGCTTATCTGGAGCATGCACTCTCCTCTCTAAGCTCCGAAGAATTTCAGGTATTTCAAGAATTCGCCATGGAACTACCACCAGGGACTGGAGATGGCAGACCCCACGGTGGCGTGGCTTTTGTTTGCCGCCGTCAAGTGGGGCGCACATTTCGCGCTGTAGAGTGTAATGATTCTCGTATCTGTGGAGTTACGATTGTGGAGCTGAGCCGTCCTCTTATAACGATAATTGGCTGCTACATGCCGTACTGGAATTCATCTGCCGTAAATTTTGAAGAGTACACAATCCTGACGGGGAAGCTTGATGCATTATTCTCTTCGCTAAGACCCTCAGCTCCAGTGGTGCTTGTAGGCGATTTTAACTGTGCTCTGCCGCCACTGTCACCAGAACTGCGCCCACCGGGCTGGCACCGTCTTCGGGGTTTCTCTCCGCTGAGTCTTCTAATGCAAGACTTATTGGACGACCGCGGACTGACAGTCGCCGAGTTCCGGTTCTCGCAACCAGTGGCGTACACCTATGCTCGAGCTGACGGCCAATCGCACATCGATCACATCGCTGTACCGCAATGTCTGGTGCCTCAAGTTCATGATTGTCGCATCGTAGTCCCCTGTGTGGACAACCTGAGCCCACATCTTCCGGTCCTTTGCAGCGTGGTGCTGCCGTCTGCCTCAGCTGGCACCAGTCTCGATGTCTCCAGCCCTCCACTGAATATGGGTTCCATCCATTCAGAAGTACTAGATTGGAGTTGTCCAGAAAAACTGCAGATATATTTGTCTTCTCTGGACGAGCTTATTGGTGCTTGTCAGCTCACCAACGGTGCCACCCCGGATGAGATTGACGAAGCAATTACACGATGCATACATACCGCTGCGCGAATCGCCGGATGCTCCAAGTCGCGACGTCCCCCGAAGCCCTGGTGGTCGCCTGATGTGGCAGTGGCGCGGGATCGCACTCGTTTCTGGCATCAGATATGGGTAAACTGTGGCCGTCCTACCCTCTCAGCAGTGGCACAGTGCTATCAGGCTGCAAGATCTGCTTACCGTCACGCCCGCAGACGTGCAGCAGTGACGCGGATCGAGAGCGAGGCCCACACTCTCCGACTGCTGCGCCGTGACAAAAATCTGACAGCCTTCTGGCGACGTGTGCAACAGATACGGCGTAATGGACTCAAGTCGGCCTCTGATCTATCCGCCGCCGACTTCCGCACCCACTTCCAGACTGTGCACCAAGATAGTCACAGGCAACTGACTCTGGACCAGCTCCAAATTGCTGAACATGTAGATTCTCGACTAAGGAGAATCCGTAACGATGCATCCGAAAGAACGGTTTCAGCTGGACAAGTAGCAGGCCTCATTCACCGGTTACAGCGTGGGAAGGCACCTGGTATAGACGGCATCACGGCGGAGCACCTTCTCTATGGTCAGTCGCCTTGTCTCCTGTCAGCTCTGGCGCACCTTCTCTCTGTCTGCCTGTCCACGTGTAGCGTGCCAGCTACCTTCGCTGACAGCGTTATTGTACCCGTGTTGAAGAAATCTCAATCGGACCCTAACTGCTTGGACAACTATCGACCGATTTCAATCACAACCTGCGCATCTAAGCTGCTCGAGCTGTTAGTGCTAGACGAACTGAACGCCTCATTTGAACCTCATCATCTGCAGTTTGGTTTTATCTCCAATCGGGGCACCATGCAAGCGTCTCTGTTGGCTGGAGAGACCATACAGCAGAATCGAGCCAGGGGTCTTCCTGTTTTTGTCGCAAACCTTGACGCGAGGAAATGCTTTGACCGAATATGGCATGACGGTCTGTTCTTCCGTCTGGAAGATTATCTTAGCGACTACTGCTGGTGCCTCATGGTCACCTGGTACCGCCACCTCTCTGCAAGGGTGACTTTTGGTGGCGCCACATCTGAAGCGTTCCTGGTCTGCAGGGGCACCAGACAAGGGGCCATCTTATCGCCAACCCTTGCAAACATCTTCCTCTTACCTCTTATTGAGGTCCTAGATCGCAGCGGTCGTGGAGCATATCTACACAGCCAGCACGTACCCGCTATCTGCTACGCTGACGATATTCTCCTTATATCTGCGAACGCGCGTGACCTCGGTGCAATGCTGCAGATGGTGGGAGAATTCGCGGCTACTTGGCGCCTCGACTTCGTTCACCCTGAACCGGGAAAAACCAAGAGCCATTGTATTATATTTGGACAGGAACTATTCACGAGCACACCGAGGTGGACACTGTCAGGACAGCAGCTGCAGATCCGGCAGACGACCGAGCACCTCGGTACGGTGCTTGATGACAACCTCAGCACAGACAGCCACGTGGCTCAGCGCATCAGGCGTGCTTGTGCATCATTCTATGGCCTCACACCCCTGGGCAATTTCACCAACCGCCTGACTGCTGCTGACAAAATCTTCCTCTGGAAGACAGTAGTGCTGCCGGCACTGATCTTCGGCTGTGAGACGGCTCCCCTCAGTTCCGCCGACATTGAGCGTCTAGACTCGCGACAGGCTTCGCTGATCAAGGCAGCGCTGGGTCTGCCGCGTTCTGCGCACCACACGGCTCTTTTGATTGCTGCTGGGGTGCCTCGCATCGGTGAGGTGCTGCGAGGTGATGCCCTTCGCGCATTCCGTAATGCTTTCCGCGCTGACCACCGTCTTCGCCAAGCCTACGTCACTGGACTGGCCAGACTTGCTACGTACCCCGATCAGTTGGATGGGTCGTTTATTGGCCACGTATATAATCTGTGTGGTGGGAATTTCGGCGCTATCATGCACATCGCTGCTGGGTACGTCGATCACGACATAGTCCGGGCACCACTCCAAGAAAGCGGTCTTATAGACAGTTTGAAGAAGGTTTTGGCAAGCAACTGTCAGGCCTCGCGGCGCCTGTTAAGACTACTAACCTCCTGAGTGCTGATTAACTGTGTGTGTGGGTGGGTGGGGGGGGGGGGTATGTATCTTTTTGTCGCATGACGATGCTGAATAAACAATAATAATAATAATAATAAACAAATCATTATTTGATACTCTACAATCTACATGCATGCGGCAGGACACCGCCCGCGACACAGTGGCCATCGGCACTGACCTTCTGGCGTTCATTGGTCCCACTTCGCGCCACTGTTTGGTCACGGCGTTGAAGCAGCGACACGAGTTGAAGTAGTCCATGCCGTCGAAGCCGCCGATGACGTAGATGTCGAAGCCGATGACGGCCGTGCCGTGGTAGGCGCGTGGTCCCGACGGATCCACCTCCTTCACCTGGCAGCACAGGGAGGAGCCATAGGAGCTTCGGTGATCAACAGTGGCCAGACGGTTATCGGATCATAGTACATATATGAGCAAGTCGTTATAGCATTTGAGATGGCAGAGTGCCCCCTCCCCCCTGCGTCATAATACCATCAAAATGACTATTCTCCTCGCCTTATAATTTACCCTTGATCATGGTATACTCGTGGCTTTAACCGGCGCACCGACGGGGGGGGCGGATATCCGCCCCCTGAGGTTTTTCGCGAATAGCGGGAAAACCGCGGCGCGTAGCGCCGCAAAATTTGGTATGACTATTCCCTCATCAATTTTACACATGGTGTGCAAGTTTGAACCTTCTACCTTTCAAGGTCAGGTCACCAGGTCACTTTGAATGACCCAACCTCAAATCACTTTTTTGCAACTTTGTCACCGTGCCAGAGCTACAGTAGATGTCGGAGGCCTTTGAAAGTCGCAGGATGTTATTAGGTCATTAGTAGCTACAATCTGTATATCTCGGAATTTTGATATCGGTGACCTAAGGTCAGGTCAATTTCGCGACCTCCCCATTATAAGTCAATGGGGGAAAAATCAACTCCCTGTTTTTACCACTAAAACGGGTCGGAATGGCCCCATATACCATACATGACTTCATATACGATCAACCTTCACTACCTTGAGGTCAGTTTTGCTCTTGGGCAGCTGTAAGGTCATGTGACGTCATCAAAGGTCACCAAAGGTTTTTTGCCAATAAATCCGTACAGGAACAAGATACAGCCGCGCGGATGGTCTCATTGTGTTCAGCTCGTCAAGACGCATCGAATGATATACATGATGACCTCGAGGTCACGTGACCTGAGGTCAACCTTTGACCTTGACCTTTCGAGGTCAACATATATATCATTCGATGCGGATTGACGAGAGGATTACGATGATGCCCTTAGTTTGTTCCTATCTTGACTAATTCGAAAGTTATTCGAGAACAACTCTCTCCATATTTAGCGCCGCCATTTTGACTTTTTGACCCCTGTGACGTCATCTTTGACCTGACCTGAAAATGACCTTAGTAAAAGTTATAGATCTTGACCGTGCGTATCCGATGCCGTTTACCGCTTGTCGCTATCTTGCATCCGCCCCCCCCCCCCCCGTCGGTGCGAAGTTGGCGCAGACCCCCGTCGGTGCGCGGGTTAAATATTTGATAACGTTTTTGGACAGCGGTAGTAAAAATCTTGCAGGGTGATTGCTGCAGCTCTCTGTTTTAGATCCATTTTACCAAAAGCCACCAATAACAAAGTCAATGACGCATTTCGGTCGTTACCGTTAGGACTGAGGTCTGACCTTGACCCATCTGTCGGCGCGCGTGTCGTACGTCTCGATGAAGTTGGTCGGGCTGCCGCCGCTCCAGCCGCCGATGGCGAACAGAATCTCGTGCGGTACGCGCGGCCTGGCCAGCTCCGGAGTGGTCACCTCACCGTCCCTCTGTGTGATCATCTCCAGGTCGTAGATGAACTTGAGCGTCTCGATGATCAGCGGGCGGCAGTCCTCGTTTTCGATTACGTACGGATGGTTTTTCACCTGCCGCCACAAAAAAATGTAAGCTCGGCTTGAAAACCATCACAGACGGTAACCATATTTCGGGCATGTCATAAAAGATACAATACAGACTTGTCCAGGAGTCGTTGACAAAAAAAAAACAACAACAACGCTACAGTTGTTGGTGAAGAATGCATGACTTAGCTTTAGTTGAAAGCTTTATCGTTTTTATCGTCTGAAAAATACCTTTTCGACGAAATATGACGTTTCTAGAAGTCCAAGTCTGATCTGTTTCATCAACTTGTGAATATGTTGTTTTCTATTCTGAGGATCCCTTTCAATCCAGTTGAGCATTGTTTCCCAAACGACTTCCTCGTTTTTCACGTTCAGGTTATCGGCGCCGAGAATCTCGCACATTTCGTCCGCAGGGAGATTTAGTAGCTCTTCATTATCAGGGGCATGAGCAATATCAACAAAGTTTCTCATGATGTAATTGTGGATTTCCCTTTCAAGTTCTACGCAGCCGTAAAAACTGTGAAAAAGGTATGTTCATTGTCATTTTGGTCATATCAAGGCAGCTTCCGATAAATATCCACACGATTCTAACAATATAATCACTCTTATGTCAGACGAATTGCCGCAAAATAGCTCGCAGAATCATAAGCATTCACTTTAACCCTCGCCCTGGCAGGGGGGGGTCGATGCGACCCCCCCTAAGGTTTTTTGAAGATAGCGTAAAAACGGCGGCGCGCAGCGCCGCCAAATTTGGCACAGCCTATGGGGCAACCTTTTTACATATGACCTGAAAATTTCAGGTCCGGGTGACCTTAGGTCAGGTCACCAGGTCAGAAAAACCGGTACAAGGTCATGGTCAAATTTCAATTTTCTTTTTGCACCTGTCCAACTCACAGTTTTGCACTGATTTCCTTCAAACTTTCACGATGTGCTAAGGTCACCGGGTTGTATAACATATAGTTCGGGTTTTTTCGAGGTCACTGACCTGAGGTCAGTTAGAGGTCATTACGTCGTAATGTTAAGCCTATGGGAAAATACTAAATTCGGAAAATACTGGAGATATCCGCTTCGTTCTATCACTTTTGTGCTTTGAAACCACAGTACTTAACAGCAGGTCACTTGGTGCTTCTTTGTTTGGTGTACTTATCCATAGGTCAGGTCAAATGAGGTCAACTGAGGTCAAATGACGTTTTTGCCAATAACTTGGCACATAATGACGCTAGAGCTTAAAAAATGGTATCATTGTGTTCCTGGTGATCAGCCGAATCGAATGATATGCGATATGATGCAATTTGGTTAACTTTAACTTAATTTATTAATTTAAGTTTACTTAAAATTTAAGAAAAACTTTAAGTACAGTTAAGCAAGCTAAAAAGTATATCATTCGACGCGCCTTGACGTGCTGAGTTCACTGGTGCTTTTCTTTTTGCTCTATCTTAATTAGATCAAAAGTTATAAGCGAAAAACTTTTGACCTGTTTTTAGCGAAATTTTTACATTTATACCCCCCAAAACCCCCCTAAATATTGACCTAGAGCAACCAAATTTGCACAGGGGCGAGAACTCCAGGGGGCCCACCTACCTACCAAATTTGGTGTTTCTAGGTGCCATAGGAGCCAATCGCGAGGGGGGGGGGGGGTCGCATTGACCCCCCCCCCTGCCAGGCCGTGTTATGAAAAATGCCCTGCCAGGGCGAGGGTTAATCCAAGCTTTAATCTTCAGTGTAAGCCCCGATAGCCGCCGCACCATTCATATCTAAACATAACAAAGTATGGGTAACATACCTGGCGAATTTCTTTATCCCGAAGCAATTTCTTGGACCGATTTCCGTCATCAGAAAGCTGCAGCAGTCTTTGAGCATTCCCTCGATGTTGAAATAATCGGCCGTCCGCAACAGCATCTCTACGTTATCCGCGTCCACCAGGGTGTTACGAGTGTAGGCGTATTCAATGACAAGTCGCATCGCTTCAAAGGAAACGTCGCGTATGAGGATGTCGGTTCTTTCGTTTTCGTGAAGGGAGGTTGTAAAGAGAGCCCTGAAACAAAAAAGAGCAATACAACGCATCAATCGGTATTGTTACCTGCACAACAAATAACGTTTACGGTGAAAACGTGCTCTTGCTCATTCTACGAGAAAAAACTGCAAAGTAGGCATGACGAGCATTGAAAGAATTTACAGGAAAAGAATATGCACTCGTTCAATGGCTCATCAATCTGAGGCTTCTGAATCCACTTTCCCCAATTTTATGGATAACTTCACAGAGAGCAGTGTCGTATTAAAGCAAAATACAAACCTATTTTTTATCGCAATCACGCAAAATACGCTTCATTCAAAGTTTGGGGGAAATCTTGTCATTTTTTTCACAAGTTGTAAATCAATGTCATGTCAATGTTGGGACACGTTTTGGCTCGGTCATTGACCTGCGATGTTCCTTTTTCATGAACGACCGTTTAAATCGGCATAAGCTTCTCAGTTACATTTGAATTATTTAAAATGTTGCCTGTGGACAAGGATTACATACTATATTTATGCTCGCAAAATACCTTCTCGTCAAAAAAAAAAATCAAGTGTCTTCATTTTATATTTTACCATAGATATCCACAAGCAAAGGCCCATGTCCCTCTATCAATCTGACGTTTCTCCAGTTGTTATAAGACATATCTCACCAATAAGTCGATAATTGAACAAATGTAAACTTAATCGGCCTTTAATCTTATTTAGATAAATCTTGAAGTAACCGAATTAACTGTAAGCCTCAGGACCGTAATAATGTTTTATGCTTTGTAAGTATTTTAGGCGAAAATGGATGTCCCTCAGCAATAGTGTCTCCTTTTTATGTTTAATAGAAACAGTACTAAAAATCAAGTTTGATCAATCTAATTTTACCGTCTTTCTCCTAGCATCGTTGTTGTAAAAACAGTACGGTTGTCATTAAAAAAATGAAGTAAATTTGTTACCCCGAGCTGGGGTTTTACTTTTTCGCGAATAGCTTCTACAAAAATGGTTATAGAGCTACGGCACTCGAACCAACGCATTTGTCTTGTCAAGCCGTGTCGAATGACGTATATTTTGTTTAGAAAAGGTCAATATTTATGTTGACCTCATGTGACCTGGAATGTTCGTTGGTTGACCTTGACACATGAAAGGTCGTACATGATATATTCGTAGGCGCTGATCACGAATCTGGCATACCGTTTGCTCTAAGCATTCAATTATAGCCTCAGAAAGGCAAAATTGTTTCAATTGTTGCGGCTGACTTGAATCAGTGAAATAGCCTTTGTCCTCTAACAAGGATACTCTTCCGTGACCTTGACCTTGAAGCAGCTTTATATCGTGAGATGAACCACAAATAGGGGCCTGTTAAGCTTTACAACATTCCAAATCCTCTTGGAATCTAGTACCTATACAAGATATACGAAAAATGCAAAGTTTGAGGTCAATTTTGAGAGTGACCTTGGCCTTGACCTTGAATGTTGGGCCCATTATCGGAATCCTTAGATTGTCTTCTTTTGCTTGACACCCATTCTTGCCGGTTTCATTATCTTGCCGTCCTTTGAAACGCTTACTTTGTCATCACTACACAATCACATATGCCAGTTTTTGCCCTTGAACTTGACCTTTGACCTTGAAAATTGACCTGAGGTAAAATTTTTTAGGTGTTTTAGAATTGTCTTGTAAAGACCTTTTGTTTGACACCACATTTGTTCACGAATTTACGGAGTTAGACGGGGGGGGGGGCGTTTTTCGCACATCCACCCTCCCCGGGTTGCGGTGATTGGGATTACCTACCCCCGGGCTAGGCCGGGATAAAGACGCTGTGGAAGTTGATATCACGTTTTAAGTATGTTTCTATTTAAATATTGATTAATATGTTGAAGATCTTCTAAGATGTTGCATAACCTTGGCCGTGCATTGCATGGCCACGGTTCTAATTTTCCAGTCAGATGACCAATAAGTGGACAATATACCTACGACTGCTCGGAAAGATTCGATGTAACAACAGGAAGTTTTATCAAAATTTTAATGAAAAGTTAGTGCTTTTGTGCATCTATACTAGCTTCAGCTGCCTTCATTCAACATTTACTTTGAAAAATATGCCAGCCCATAGAAAGGTGAATCCTAGTCTTGCACACCCAGGAAGCTGTTATAGCTTGCACTCACCTGAAGTATGGGCTGCATGCCGACATAAGCGCACGATGGATGGAAAATGCACTGCCATCTTCTAGCCGTATTATGGCATCACAGAGTAATTTTTGCTGCCTTAGCTCATTGAGAGCGTGCATGGACTGGAAACTAATGGTCCGCCCCACATTTTCGACCTCCATTTGTTCTTCGGGGCTAGGGCCTTCCATTTTGCAAGGGCCGCCGGAAACCCCCTGACCCCAATTAATCCCTCGATCATGGATGTAATTAAAAGGGCTTGAGGCCCTAGAATATTACCTCCATATCTTGGGATCACTGCGTACAATTTCGAACTATCGCACTATTTGACTTCATATTTGTACCGGGTAAGCATAATGGGATATAGCACGTGACTGACATGGCAAAGGACTTATTGGTGCGCGGTTTATACCTATCATCTCATCGACCTGGAAAAGCGGTAATTTACGCGAAAAATAAACAATGTGTTTCATTCAGGTTTCATCGTTTGCCTGCCCCTTATATCCCAGAGCCCTTTTGGACGGAGTATGTTGATATGCATTTATACAATGATATGCTAGCAAATGTTTTTACAATAAAAGGCCAAATAGTTATCCTTGCACTATTATCTTACTTGTGCATGCCCTTCGAGCATGGTGATTCACCAAGTTCCTGATACTCAGCAGAACTGGTTTTGATCTTGCTCTTATCAGCGGAAATGTATGTTTTGATATTTGTCGCGCGCATGCGGTTGCATACCACGATTTTTTTCCTATCACCGCACCTGGCATGAAACGATGAACGAATGTCTGTGAACTCCAGGTACCTATCATTTGCATTCATTCATTCGCGGTCAGGATATTTCGGCGGAAATAACACTATAATTCACACAATAATTGTATTTTACAAAGTCAGTTTGTGCGTATATACCTGAACACGCAAAAATGCATACTCCAGTGAGCACGACGATCACCTTAACACCGCGGTACAAAGATCGGCACATGCAAAAATAGTCTAACCACAGCCGTCCGCTCCAAACACTGTGAACCGTCATCAGGCCGTCTCTGCTGTGACCCTGCCCATCACTGATTCCGCAGTGTGACACAGCTGCTACAGGAGAAATGCTTCAGAGGCTGCACTGGATTCTGTTCACAAATCATAGCTCTCAGTTGATCCTGATCTCATCTTTTCTCACCCTCCGTACTCCCGGATCAATGAGAAATGGCGCAACAGGCGGCTATTTGCATGCTACCTCCACGTTCCCCGTTGGGCCTCAGAATGCATACGGTATATTTACAAATATGATTGCCATGATTTCAAGTCATCAATGATTATATCACAACAGGCGAGTGATGATAAGGCGTGGACACGACACTACAGTGGCACACACGAGACATGGCAGCAAAGGCTGTTCACTCGAATGAGACCGCGTCGCGCTGGCGATCGCGAAAACACGGCGCATTCCACTAGGAACCCGACATATCTGTGGATCACTGACAAACAATAGGAATGCAGAGCCACACAGCAGCCGTTACATGACTGAACAGGGCTGCGGAACACCTCAGCCCGATAACACTAGGAACCTCACCTTCCAAAACGATGCATGTCAACCCTTTCCGACAAAGATGTACTCCAGACGAACTTCCCAATCAACTAAAGCTCGCGTCACGCAAGACATCATGCTATTTGAGGCATTTTCAGGCACGGTACAACAGCGCGATAAGAACTATTGAAAACAGTACAGCAAAAGAGGACACTGTCGGTTGCGTGGCAGCAGGACAGGCGGCGCCGCCACCCCAGTCCGGTTAATGAGTGGGCGTGCGGAAGAACCGTAGCACCACGTAGCCGAGCACTCGGAACACCACCATAAAGGCGAACAGCGCGGACAGGTTGGCCCAGAACGGCAGCTCTCCGCCGCGCCGGCTCAGCAGCTCTTCGGGCGGGACGAATGTAGCGCCATCTGCCACACACGCCACGAACTTGGAGTTCTCCTCGGCACACCTGCAAGGAGGAGCACAACGTCAGCACTTGGTAGCGAATGATGTGTCGCACATCCTCCCCTTACGATTTTCTAAGCATCGTAATAGCTAAGCTATTAAACAAAACAGGAACGTAAAAGAATATTGCGCTGATAATATATCATATAGCAGCTCATCAAGTATCGTGTCCGTAAGCCCGTTCTCTTTTCCTTTCCTGAAATCTCTCAACCTCAGAGCCTTTGTTTATTTCTCCTTTACATCGCTCTCATACCAGCCCTCTGTATTAAATCCTGAAGTTCCCCACCACTGACCTGAACGGAGCGCCGTTCGTGAACTCGACGATCTGCATGTTCTGGTAGGCGTAGAACACCATGGAGAGGTAGCGCATCCAGCCGAGCCAGCTGGGGATGTGCGTCGACAGGAAGCCGCCAAACAGCTGTGTGCCGCACGTGAAGATGGCGCCCACCGTGTTCCCCACCTGGAAGTCCATGCAGGCCACGCCGAAGAACACGCCGACACTCTGCGAATGCGAAGAAAATCCGTCAATGATTTTCTAAAGCCAAGTAGGAGACTCGATAACACAATCATCTCACTGAAAGATAAGAGATTGAGTGATGCTCTGGCTGAATCATGGAACCTGACTTTTTGATACGAATAAACGGACAGCTGCCCGTTTTTTATAGCATGATTTTATTACGAGCGAGCGAGCGCAGCGAGCGAAGTGAGTCTTTTCAATATAACGGAAAAATCTCAGTATGAGCGGCCCGGCCCGGCCCGGCCCAGCCCGGCCCGGCCCGGCCCGGCCCGGCCTGTAACGCTTTTGAGAGGCTTATATCTCAGGAACCGCTGGACCGATTGGCCTGCGGTCTTTTTTGCTGGGTAGCCCCATTCCTTCTACCCCGTAATTGACTACTTTTGATGCATCTCAGTGACCGTCGTGGCACGTGCCACGTGAAAAGTCAAGGGTGTTCAAGCTGTTTTGCAAAAGTAGTGATTTTGAGAGGCCCATATCTCAGCAGCCGCTTGGGCGATTGTCTTGCGGTAATTTTTGTAGGGTAGCTGCATCCCTTCTACCAAAGGTCGGATATTCTTGATCTATGTGAGGGACCCCCACTGCACGTGCAAAATGAAAAAAAGAATAGGTGCCAAATTTGTTCCCATTTCAATAACTCGGTAATTACTGGGGCGATTTCGCTGAAACTTGGCATACAGGTAGGCACCCACCAGGCAATGCATTCCCATGTGTTGCGGTTAGGGTGCTACTGCACGTGCGCACGTGCAGGGGGCGCTCCCAGATCTCGAGAACGGCTGGGCCGATTGCGCTCAAATTTGGTACACGGTTGGGGACCAGTTAGTAGGGTGCCGTGCAGAAGTCAGTTTGGACCTCTTTTGCACGTGCGCACGTGCAGAATGCCGCTTCCAGATCTCAGGAACGGCTGGGCCGATTGCGTTCAAATTTGGCACACCGCTAGCGGGCTCACTATCTCGCTCGCTCGTTCTTCGCCCAAAAGGCGTTTTACTGGTTAATACATTTTCTCAGTGTCTCACTTGTGCTTACCTCTGCCACGATGCTGTTGAGCAGCAGCAGCAGCAGCAGCTGGATGAACGTGACGGCCGAGCTGCCGGCCATCATGGGGTAGGAGATGACGAAGTACAGCGTAGGCGGCACCATGAGCAGCGGCAGCTCTCCGAACACCCGGGACAGGTAGAAGGCCGAGAGCCGGTAGGCGCCCGAAGCGCGCTCCTTGTTCACCACCTGCTGCTGGGACGGAACTGGAACGAAACGGAACGGAACATTAGAGATACAGGGGACTGGAACGAAGTCGATGGAACGATTAACGAAAGATTTATCTACTATCTAGAATCTATATCGACATTAGGGGAAGGGTCTCCGTATATTTAAAAAAGAAAATGTCATAAGTTGAACGTCTTTGAAAACAGACATACTGTCTGGTTCAAACACATACACCAATACAGCGCCCAGGAGGACGCGTGTTTCGAATTCAGAGTCCGCCGGTGCAGCATTACTTCAGGCGTTTACTACTACTGCCCTCTAGTGAGGATATGCGGAACCTACGAGTAACAGCCTTGCGGAACAGTCTGGATTCAGGCGCCGATCACTGCTGCCATCTACCGAGAAAAACGGAACTACACTGCCTTGCGGGACAGCCTAGACTAAGGCGCCAACTACTACTGCCATCTATTGAGGAAATCATGGAAACTATACTGCTTTCCGGTGCAGCCTAATTTCAGGCGTTTTAGCTAGTTATCCAGCGGAGACAAGGAAATGAAATAAAGCACGATGTTGTTCGTGGGACAGCAGGGCTATTCCAAACCCTTCAAAACCTTTGGTGTTACTTGCAACTGGTCCAAAACGGTTATGATAAATAAATTAGAACAGCTGATATGCTGTCCCGTTATCTTATAAGCATATAAGCAGCAGGTATAGCACTCACAGTTGAAAAGTGCTCCAAACAGCGAGAAGAGCATCCAGTAGTTTGTGGAGAAGAAGATCCAGCCCTGGAAGTCAGCGATGCTCTCCTCTGTGCGCTCTAACTGGAACCAGACGAGTCCGGCGAGCAGCGCGAGAGCCACCGTGAGGATCAGATTCAGTCTGCTCAGCACCCGCGGACGGGCCTCGCGGAAATTCCTCAGCGTCAGCACCTGCAGAACGGGAGGAACGGCCCGGTTAGAGCGGCCAGTGGCATGTCGGAAATAGTAGAAGATGTGCACCATCGATGAGCCCTTAGTAACTATACCCTATGTATACCACATGGTAGCAGCATCGCTTATGACTCATTCGATTTACAGCTAATCTCGACATGTTTATGGACAACTCGCCTTGAACTGCGTCCAGAAGGATGTGGGCCACCGGTCGGTGAAGAACTCCTCCTCCAGCTCGTTGCTGTGCGAGTCGTTGGACCAGGTGGAAGTGCCGCTGTCCTGGTCGGTGGCCGCCTCCAGGTCCAGGCCGGGACGCGCCGTCTCGATCAGGATGCTGAGGTCGGTCGCGCTGCTGTTGCGGCAGTTCTTGCAGATCTTCGGCAGCTCCTCTTGCTCGTTGATGGTTGAAGGCCAGGGAAGCTTCTGGCCACACTTGCACTTGGGAACGTCTTTCTCTGTAATGCAACGCCCGGACAAATCAGGTCAGGACAACATACGCTATGCATTTTGCTACTAACGCCGCAAATCTGTATGCTTGTTATGTCACTCATACATTGCACTCTTACGTAGATTGACAGCACAGAACATCTCTGAGTCATGGGCAGCACAAATCAATAATCACATAAAAACTAAGGGTGGATCAAAGTCTTTCAAACTAACCGCTAGGTTCGCTGGCGTCGCCGCCCGTGTACGGTGCCGAGTACAGGCTACCGGTGCTGGAGAAAGGTGTGTCGGCGCTCAGCTGTGACTTGGAGTTGGGTCGGGCCGCCGCCAGAATTTTTTGCAGCTTGTCCTCCGTCGTTTTCAGCTGTTCCACTGCGGCGGGAAGGAACAGTCTAGTTGCGACATCGGAGAGACATACCCATTGGGCAGACACGTTGGACGGGGCATATAGAGATGATAATAAAATCATTAAGTGGCTGTTACTTACATTGTAGCACTAGCATATACAAACGTTTTGTTACCTGAGAAACCCAGAAATTAAATATTCAAACCGAAAATGTTTATTGTTTATAATCCATAACCATAACGCATACGCTAAATTAATTAAAATCGCCTTAGTTATGATCACGAAGACATTGAAGTTCCATTATTTCTATTCGTGCGTGACACATGCAGGTACACTATGCCAATACAAATATTCAACTTACGAACAAAGTCGGCAGGATTGTAGTGTGGCTGGATGAAGAGGCCGAGACTGTTGAAATGATTGACGACATTGCCGACCTCTCCAAAGTAGGCAGTCTGCAAAATAAAACACACATTAGTCCATTTAAATCACGCCTGATTCATCGTCAAAATGAGCTAAAACAATGTCGACAAGGCCATCTACTCGGGCCAACGACCAGAATATCTTGACCGCCCAGCCAAGACGTCCCTGTTTTGCCGCCGTTCGCGCAGTCTGGCCGGGGCTAATGACCTCGGGGTCACGGTCAGTGGCCTTCCAAGGGTCAGACGCGTTTTTATCCACCCACCTCCAACCATCACCGAGCGGCCACTGTGCGCGACGTACAGCGCTTGCCGCACACACAATTCATCACGCTTTTTATTCCCATTAGCGGTGGGGCCAGACGATTCGCAAAAACCAAGTAGCGCGCGAGAAAAAAGAGCGGCCGTGCGTCGCGGCAATTTCGTTAGGCGCCAAAAAAGCGTCATCAGCCTTGGTGATTCGGTTTTTGTTGAATTCGTAAGAAAATATGGGAAGGAGGTGGCAGCCAGATCGATACCGAACGGGAATGTTGGCACAGTTCCATAAAACAATGATTTTAGCCAGACACGGTGTCCATACGCCGCGAGAGCGTTTCATTGCAACGTTTCGCATGTGCGTAGATAGGTATGTTACGAATGACAATGAAAAACATCAAAACTTTACTAAAAGAGTGACTCAGACACCAGGTTACGATCATTCAGCAAGTAGGTACTAGAATCACTCCGTGCTTCCCGATGAAAAATAGCTCACCGGCCTCTCATGCAGTTATTCCCATCCTGTGACCGAAGTCGGTACATACCTGTCCGTTGCAGAGGAGCAGCAGCTTGTCGAACATGTAGAACACCTGGGAGGAGGGCTGGTGGACCGTCAGCACGATCGTCTTCCTCTCCTTCAGCGCGTACTCCTTCAGGTTCTTGATCAGGCTGTACGTGGCGCTCGAGTCCAGGCCGGTGCTGGGTTCCTGGCAGGGAAGGTCGGGTTACAGGTACGGCGGGACATGAGGGTGATGCAAGCAGAAATAATGCGCACTTGTGCTGGGGCCTGGGGTGTTAGCCAACTTTAAACACGGGACTGCGTAAAATCAATAGAAAACACAATTCTGACAACTAGTGTTGTCTACATATTTCACACAACCTGAGGTTAAATATAAAACATAAATCGGTTGCACGTTTCATCCACTTTACTATTACCACAATGCGGTAGAAAAGCGAATATAGAGCGAGATTCACTTACATCGAGAAGCATCAGAGCCGGGTTGGTCAGGAGTTCACAGCCGATGTTGGCTCTCTTCTTCTCTCCCCCGGAGAGGCCGCCTTTCATGTACTCGCCGATCCCTGAGAGAGATACCAGTCACGTAAATAAACAATCACTCACTGGCGCTTAAGAGCGGGCTGCATCCGTTTTTAGTTAGCAATATCAGAGTGTGTCATTCCGTGCAAACCTGTCATTATCGGCATAGTTCTCCACACACAAATTAAGCCCTCGCAGCTTCCCATGCAGTTCCAACAAAGAGCAGCAGCCATTACCGACCCGGAACGGCAGCGGGTTAGTGCTCTCGGCGGTCACGACATTGCGAGCCGTTCTGACCTCCAGTGAACGCGCCGACAGGTCACGTCACGCGGGCTCCCGGACCAACCTAGCCGTGCTTCCTAGTTCCGACGAAGACATATCGCTCTGCCAGCTGCGTCTAACACTGCTGCAGGTGTGGCCCCACAGAAAGTGTGAAACTATCTCGATCGCCCGCTCTGCACCAATGCTGTACCAGCTATCTCGATACCGTAAGCAGGGTGTATTAATTCGGAATCTGTCCTCGGTCAAGCGCTGATGGTTCGTAACGTCCACAGCTTCGAAACGGGACCTACGAGGCACTCCTACGACCGACAAAGGTGGCCCACATCAGTCCAGAAGGAAGTGAGGCACAGCGGAAGTTGTCCGTCCCGAACATGCACTCTACCGCACACTAATTCTCAGATGGTGCCGGTCACGACCGGACGAAAGGAATACAGTGATGTAAAAGGTGAAAACTAACGATACAAGATGTATATAGGTGGGGCCGACAGTTTTCAGCTAGTCCATCAACATTTTCCGATACTTCCGCAGTGTTACAGAATAAACGAAGATCAGGGATCAAGTATAACTAGTGGTAGGATATGCAGAAGTTTCTGCTGATCATGGATATATGCGAATGGCGGCGCTGGTTAGCGTCCAGCTCTATTGACGGACCAGAGTTCTCCCAACTCCAGTCACCGTTCCTGGAGGCACGGAAGCTACCTGTCGTTTTTGCCGCCGCCAAGCCTTCATCAGACAACAGTGGAGGCAAAAACCATGTCTGAATACAGCGTGATTGAGTGCGAAATTGTCGGGACTAAAAGCACGAGGAAATTAGCCACTTTGTCAAAATTTGTCCATGACCGCGCGGCTGGTAGTCATAGTTGATAGCCATCAATTCCGAAGTGCAGTTGAAGTGTAGAGCGCCAGGCGGAACTGTTTTTGCCACTACAGTCGGAAAACAAAAACTTCAAGCGCTTCATGTCCGGGGCAAACGAACGTAAAAAAGTAGAAGCGCTAAAAAGCTATCTAATCGAAACAGTGTTTTATTTCATCTTACACAGTTCTGAGAAGCAGGAATCGCTGATGTAGGCGTGCATAACTTCAATTCGATCTATAGACGTCATGCAGTCGTCATGTTTAGAACTGCCTGATATGACAAAAAAGATATTTCTTTAGGCCTGATGTATCCTTCGGTCTAAATGTCTCGCTGTCCCCTCTGACCCGTTCCCGACTGGAGTCGCCCCAGCGCTGATGGAGCGGCTACTCACGTGTGTGCTGGCAGCGCGTCAGGTCCAGTGTGTCGATAATGTGGTCTACGTGGGCGACCTTCTCGGCGTGGCTGAGTCGGTCCGGCAGTCGCAGCTGGGCAGTGTACTGAAAACGGAGAGGTGAGACGGTCAGAGATACAGACAGACGGCGGGTGGTGTTTAGGGAATGACTGAGATGTTTGCTGAGCTGACATCGTCTGAGATGCTGTGGTGTCATAAAGACGGGAAGAGGCCATTCCCTCACCGCGACGAAACGTGAGGCCCTGAATATATAATTTACTAAACAATAAAATATCTATTGGGCCTGTGGCTGGTTCTGGAGCAATTAACAAATAAACAAACCTCATGGCATGACTTTCATTTATACACGCCTGCTGTGGCTCATTGTCCCAGTGGTAAATGGTCGCCACTAAGCTGCGTCTGCCAGGCCGTGCCTGCGCTGGGCCGCACAGCAGCCCGTGCTGTATCGCAAACGACCACGCGCGTCCTAGAAAACTCCGACCCAGAACGGGTTCTGAGCGAGCCCGCGCGGGCGACAAGTCACGTCAAAGTATCACATCCTCATCAGCGCACCACTGTGCGTCAGGGGCCGGCGCACGAGACCCGTGCAGCCAATGTGTCACGTCCGGCACTGATGGGCCATTTTGTCCAGAGGGGTGGCCCGCTGCACGTGCACGTGTACCGTCCCTGCTCCATACCCACCGGAGGTAATTTTCTCTGTCGTTCCATACGTTCGGGAGGGGAGGCCTTGTCAGGCCGCTAACGCTGCGTTCTCTGCGTCCGGTGCACCATCGGTGTGCCACGTTTTGGGACTGCGCCAAACCCTGACGAGCTGAGCCGGGACAGCGGCGACGCCCGGTCGGGATGGCCCGCTAATGCCATTGCACACGGTTCGTTGTGCAGGAATACTATTGCACGACGCCCGGCTGGACATGATGAGAACTGCGTACTCTAGTGGCAACGGCCGGACGCGATGCTCAGAACTGTTGATCACTAGCGCGAATCGCGAGATCACTGACAGCGAATCACGCCACAGGCAGCGTAGTAGTTGCGTAGAAGCAAGAAGGCGTAGGTAATGAAAATGGCAATGACGGTTGAGGTTGTTTCAGTCTACAAAAATTTGTTCATGCATTGCATACAGATTTGTGTCATAAATCCATCATAAATTCATTGATTGACGCCCACGTCATCTGTCATACCCAGCTGTTCTGGCCTCGCTCACTGTATGCATAACATAAATAAAACGGGTCGTGGTTATGTAAGCACTGACGTTTCGTAAGTAGACGAATACATAACCGAGCCGTGGACAGTGGCGATATTGGTCAGACGAACGGGTTTGCGCCCATTAGCAACCGCTTCTCCGCCGCTCCCTCCCCTGCACCTCCGCCATGGACTTGTCTTCTGTTTACCCACCAAAAACCGTCCTGATAACGCGATCGGTACGGGTCGACCGACGGAGATGTGATATGCTCCTAAAAGTTACTAATATGGTTTGATGTAGTTGAAACTTATCGAAATCCAGCATGCATTCAATGAGAAAACGAAACTTAACAACAGAATACGGGCTGACAGCTTACATCGCTGGCAAAAGTTTTCAGCTGCAGGCAACTAAATGGTCTCATACCTAACGAACGAAACGGGTAAATCAGGTTAAAAGCAACAAGGAAGTGCCTATTAAAATCCGCGACGAGACACGTCCCAATTAAAAGTGCGCACGTCATTTACATGTACTTGTCAGCAACAATACAATCCTGAAATTCAGCATCGCGGATATGTTCATGTCCGATTTTATCTGCACGCAAACACAGATGTCCGATGCGATAAACCCGTTTCGGCGCGTCCCGGTTCGTCTGGCTGCCGTTGGCTGAGGCGGTGCCGGAGCGGCGAGTAGCGGGCCCGGTCTGAGGTACCGCTCTGGCCTGAATCGGCGCCCGGTAACAGGCCACGGGGAAGGCCACGGGCCGGCCGGCGGCACTCTGCGGCCGGCACTCGGCGCCAGACGACTCACTCTCGGCAGAAAGTCACTGCGCCGAGACACGCTACCGGCGCGCCGCCTGCCGCCGCCACTGCGACCAAACACGCCACCGCTACATCGAGACACGCGCCTTGGCGCAGAGGTATACCGCGCCTCCGGCGACTGTGGGTCCGGGGCTACCCGCGCACCGCAAACTCGAGAAAATATGGGACGTGAGAAGACATGAAGGAGTGAGACCAAACAGCTACGACGGAATTCCCGACAGTTTATACCCAAAGACGGACAGTTACGGAAGACTTCCCGTCCGCCGTCTATAAGGTGAATAGCTGCAGAGAGAAAACAGTTTCTAATCGATACAACAGTGAACTGGGTGTACTTTCAATGCACGCTATCACTGTCTGGCAGGACTGACCCGGAATAGTCGGGCACAGTGGACCACACCCTGGTAGCGGTGCGGGCCTCTTGGCCGGCTGACAGGGCTCCACCCACAGCCAACGACACACGGTGCCGGCGCGCCTGCATAGCCGATGAGGCCACTGCACCAGCCACGGCAGCCGCGCCGCGCCGGGCGACGGTCGAAAGTCGTGAGGTCGGCCGGGCCCGCCGAGTACGTGCCATGGCCAGTCCAACGGCAGTTCAGAGAGACGGCGCTCGTATTTCTCTGTCACTCTCCTTTCTCCCTCTCTCACTGTATTTCCCTCTCTCCTCTCTATCTCTCTCCCTCTGTATCCTCTCTCCCACCCACCTCTCTTCACTCTTCCTAAATCGTTTCTCGTTTCACTTCTATAACTTTCGATCGTGTTCAATCATGCAAAACCTTATTCGAGTTCACGTTGATTAATGAAGTCAAATCAATTCGCTGGTTGAACAAGATGTCTAGACAACTCATACCGGGCTCAATCTTTTTTTTTACCTAGACTTGGTGCAGCACTCTTATCCAGATGCTTTAACAGTAACACATTTCCGGTGTCAATCTTCCCTCTATTCACCCACGCTCTTCGGTACTTTCCGGTATTAATTCCAACGTACTCACCATTAACGTCTGTCGAAGGGTCAGGTGTGCGAAGAAGATGTCCTCCTGAAGGACGTAGCAGATCTTCCTCTTCAGGTGCTTGTTGAGCAGCTCGCCGTTCAGGAGGACGTCACCGGCGTCCGGCTTCAGCCTCCCGGACAGCACGTTCAGCAGAGACGTCTTGCCGGAGCCTGTAGGCGACACACGCAGTCAGATTAATGACCAAGTTTACAGGCAACAGTTTAAAATGAGTTATTCTATTTGACATTAACCAAGTACATACGCTCAAGAACCGTAAGGTGCAAATAACGTCCCTTGAAGGCCACATAATGAGTGTTAGTGGGACATTAGGAACATCGCTTCCTCGCGACGTAAGAGGCGAAGACTGATGGGAGCTCAGTCATGGTTCAAGACCGGTTTGTAACGACAGATACGCGATGATTCACGGGCGAAATTGATGGCTCCAGCACGCGGCTTCATTCACTCCGTCATGTAGCTTACAGGGACTATCGGAAAATGACGTATAGCTGTGACAACAAATCGATACAATTTTATCCCATACATAATACTTGGAAATTCACGCGAAGGACAGTCGGGTCAAAACACTGCCCAAGGACGTTTCTGAGGAATCCTACAGAATTAGCGCCGGGACCAACCGGCCAGGATAGAAAGCGCTCTCGTGGGCCAGTGTCCCCGAGATGTTTGGTAATCGGATCTCTCGCGCCGGGTAGCTGAGTGTCCCACTTTCCCGGCGCCGTTCGAGTGGAAGAGGGAAGTGATGTGCTCCCTGTTACATTGGACGAACCGAGTATGAATACGGTCCGACCGTACTGACCGCTGACCAGTGGCCATGCTTCACCATTGCGCAACAAAAGTAGCCAGAGCTTGCATGGACAGCTGTGCAACAATGCAGGAAATTGTAATCCATACATGTTTTCTGTATAAGAATAGTAAAATTTCAACTTCACAGCACATAAACCGGCGATAAGTAGCAAGCAAGGCTGCCTAATATTATGACAACTTAGGTGACATGGCGCTCGCGTGACAATCTTCCGATCGCGCTCACAAAGCCGCTGCAGCCGGCCGCCCCGCGATCCCCAATTCTGTCGGCTCGTCAAGGCCAGCTCGGCTGATCACACATGGGCCTCGGCACGGGGTTAATGCTCCGATCTGCAGCAATGAATGCTCACTTTCTCTGGCGAGTCCCCGGGCGGTGAATTCACGCCACCTTCGACTGCCGCAGGAGCGCCGCGTGACGCAGCTCATGTCTCTTTATAGGCTACAGGCTACGGCGCCCATTTATTTTAAATATAAATAGGAATGCTCATTTTACTCTCACCAGTATTCGAAATAAGGTTGCTAAAGTTTGAAGTGTGATTCGAAAAATGTATTGAATTAAACGAATTTTGAAAGATGCTGCCCACATTAAATGTTTAAGAGATCGTTTCAAGAAGTCCGAAATTAATGCTTCATCGGGTACTTGAATCAGATCAGGTCAGCTCAGGTCAGGTCAGGTGATTGTACTCACCACTGGGTCCCATGACGGCCAGCACCTCCCCGGGTCTGACATAGCCCGAGATGCCCGAGAGGATCTGTCGTCCACCGGCCGAGCAGCCCACATTTTGGAACTGCAGGTGGACGGGACGCTGTTTTCCGACGGCGCTGAACTGTGCGCCGGCCTCCGACCTGGCGTGGAGAGAGGAGGAACAGAGGTCAGTCACGGGGCAGGTCAACACACAGGTCAGAGTAGAGAGAGACCAGGGGTCACTCACCGCACGTGACAGTGTATCAGGTAAAAGGGAGACCACTGACCAGGGGTCACTCATAGCACGTGACAGCGCACAGGTAGGGGAGCCATGGGTCACTTGAAGCACGTGACAGTGTATCAGGTCAGAAGGGAGACTGGAGGATAGCCAAAACACGTGACTGTTCACACGTCAGGCCACATGCAGAGAAACCGGGGTCAGCTATGGAACAGATCACTACACAGGTCAGGCGCGGGCGGCCCACAGCTGGTGGTATAGGCCACGAAATAATGTTGGTGCTGGTTAATGAGGAGAAAGATGCTATTCATCTTAATAAATCATAGACCGTAATGCCGATCATATCTCAGAAGCGCGTTAATCTATCGTAACTTTATTACCTGCGGCATGGCATCATCCTCATCCCGCATCGCCACTGCAGGAATGGCTTAGGCTGGTCCATTAGCTTCCATCGAAACGTGTTTCGGATCACGAACATCATTAGCATAACTCGAGGCTGGAGTTACTATGAGGAAAACGGACCAGTGGAAGCATCTGGGCCAATCCGCCGGATTAGGGCCGCCGGGGAGCCCTGTCCGGTCACGTCACTCTACCAGTCACAGTCGTAGGACACAGCTGCAGTTACAGAGTGTACCTACCGCGCGGGGTCACGGCAGATGTGACACAGTGCGCCGCTCTCGGGACGGGCAGGGGCCCACGTGGTAGTGTTGTGAGTGTGTCAGAGCGGCCGGACTGGTAGCGATGTTTGTTGTGTTAGCTGGACTCGCTCTCGGCATACCAGAGGCACCGCAGGGAGAATTGTCCAGGGTCCACTGGCCAGTGCCTGGGACCGTGGCAACGGAGAAACAATGCTATCGGCTGCAGCTATCTGTGCAGCTCAAGTTTAGATCGCTCTACAGGACGTTTGGCTAATGGATGGTGCATTAATTCGGAACTCGTCTGTAACCTTTGAACTCTACAACGGCCAGTCACCCGTTATACAACACAATGATAATACAGCATCTAGCTCGGGTTTAATGCATCGACTAGTACAGCTACTTTGACACATTTTATGCCTCTCGGAGCCGCTCACAGAATAACCGACCTCATGAACCGGGATCGAGCCGTGCTATCGCAGATATTATCACCGACGGAGGACTACCGGCGCGGGCCGGGATGTGAGGACGCACACGGCCGGCGAGCGGACCGTCCTCAGGTGGGCCACCGGGCCAGGGACCACTGCGTCACCGAGTCACTCAGAGGCCGGCGCGGCGCGGCCGGACCCGCATACCAACGAGCCCGGACAGCCGGTCAGGAGGGCGGCCGGCGACAGCAGCCCGCAGCTCCCGTACCGAGCTGAGCTGTCCCAGCCAGCCCTGCCCGCAGCTTCCGTACCGACCTGGGCTGTCCCAGCCAGCCCTACCCGCAGCTCCTACCGACCTGAGCTTCCCCAGCCAGCCGGGACGGGAATAGCACTGGCAGTTATAATTAGTCGAACAGATGAAGTGTCTCGACGAACGCTAACCAGACATTTGCGGTCGCACGTCCCACCATAATCACTCAACGTGCAGTGCAAACAGGTAGGTGCAAGTGCAAAGTCGACAGCTCATAACCTACAGCTGTCACTGCTTATCACTTCATTGTTGGTGAATAAACATAATGACTACTGACTAGGCTAGAAGGGATATGCTTTATCATCCCATTGTATTGTTGATGCCCGTTCAGAACAAGCGCCTCCTGGCCTTATTTAGATGCCTGCTAGGACCTCGCCCTATTCTCTCACATACCTATCACACCACCCAGCTCCCTACACGACTGCCGCGTCCGTTCATCTCTCCCGCGGGGGTGTTGCAGCTCATCCGCAGCTAATGCGACCGCAAAGCGCCGCCTCGGGCCGGGGCGGGGGCGAGTAGCCGAGTTTGCATCGCTGGGGGCGGCTCAAGGCCGAGCTGCGGTCGTTGACCCAGTGTCGGAGCCCAGCCGACGAGGACCACCGCTGACTGGCAGTCGCAGCCGACGCGGCGTGTTTGTTTCGCCGACACATCACCGGGCGGAGGGGGATGTAATGGCATTAGACAATATACCTTGCCAGGTCCCCCTCCCCCCTCTTCTAAGAAGCCACAAAACCGGATTATCCTTGAAGCTTTCTGGCTTGAGCAATACACCGAAAACCAGAAGGCTACATATTTAAGAGAAATCCGGTTGCGTCGTAACTCAAACCCAACTGCCAAGCACCTTACCCCCTCCCCAATCCGCACGTTTGGTTAGTCGTGCCGTTTAATCTCGTACCATTTTATAATAATTATTTATCTAACCATATCAGCCCACGTCAGGTGAGTTTCTGTTCGGCAGTGAGACCATCTGGCCGCGCCGCTCGGACTCACCCGTTGGACGTCTGTGTCGTCATCGCTGCGCGCGGCACGTGCGCCGGGCCGGTGACGAGCGCCTCGCGCTCCGACGCGCATCGCTCCGCCTCAACGTCGATCACGACGCGCTCCCGTCGGCCGCGCCGCGGCAGTCGGCACGGGTGCGGGCAAGAGCTGTCGGCGAAGTGTACGCGACAACTGTCCGGCTCGTTGGCGGCGGCGCAGTGCTGTTCCGGCCGGCGCGGCTCCGGAAGTCGTTTGAGGATGCTGGCAGTGTTGGTACTGGTCACCAGTGCCGCGCCCTGAGCGGGCTCCTTGGACGAGTCGCGTCCGACGAACGAGCGCAGTGCTTCCAGCGGGTGGAGACGAGGCATCGTGTCAATGTTGACAGCGGAGGTGACCACCATACGGACCAGTGGAGTCCTTCCAGTAACGAGTCTGAGACGGAGGTCCCCAGCCGAACGCACGCGGTCGCGAGCAGTCCTCTGTCGACCTCACTGCGCGCGGCACCGGCGCGCACTGCAAGACCTCGTTCGCCGCGCTACTGCGACAACAGCCGACTACGACAGAGTACGGCCGGCTACGTCGTCACTGCGGCGGCGACGGTCCGGGAGCGCGGAGAGGAGCCCGTGCGTCCTCCTCAGCCGGCGGCCGCCACCCGTTTGCCGGCGAGCCAACTTTCTAGCGGCGAGCGTAGGGCCCATTTCGCGGCGCGGGGCGGAGCTCCGGCTGGGCTGGGGCGCCGGGACGCGCGCTCGCTGCCCGCTGACCGGTCAGCACCTGACCCCCCCCCCCCCTCCGACCCCCGACCCCCGCCCCCGAACCAGACATGCGGGGGGCACACTGACGTGCCAACTGAGATATGATGAAACCACCGTGACGCTGTGTAGGTGACAAAGCGATCGAAAACAGCGTGACCGGGTGACGTGTACGAGGTTGATATTTGATTGGAGCGCACACTGGCCCAGCTGGACCGTGCAGTCGTTGCAAACTTGTGATGATGACCCTAATGTTTTACAAATAAACACATGCAATGGCTGACTGAAATGTCTGAAATGACAACCTACAGCCGCACAGCGCTATGTTTAACCGCCTTATCAGGCGACAGAATGAAAGATCTTCAGCAAAACTAAATATTTGTTGAACTGACATTTCCATGAAATGTAATTGCATTACCAGTAAGGAATAAAATAATATGACTCGGAGTGCACTAAGGAAATACCGCACCCAAACATGCATTCTTAAATGAGTTCGACGGCATGATGCTATGCGTTTTCAAATTAAATGTCTGGCACTTCTTACACTTCAATATTAAGTGCATATATGACGTCCCTCAAAGCCATTTTCGATTTGATTCCAAGCACCGGCTATTTGGCAACAACAAACATGATAAATTTTTGTCGAAGTTTAAAATCGAAGCATTGACCACCGGGGACACATGCGTACTAATGTTTAGATTAGAGTTCGCACAACCCAGCTGTCTGCGGGAAAATTATGGCTGCCGATCGATATTGCACAATGCCCGGCCCATTGAGTTAAGGACATCTCCCGTTAATAAGGACACGCTGCCTCCGGACGAAGCAATGACGTTATGGCACCACAACAGTCACCATATCCCTGTCCGCATTCCTCCATCCTCGTTTCTATCCCACCGTTCCTCTGTCCGTCTGTTCATCCGACCACTCTCTCTCTCTCTCTCTCTCTCTCTCTCTCTCTCTCCTCTCTCTCTCTCTCTCCTCTCTCTCTCTCTCTCACACTCTCTCTCTCTCTCTCTCTCTCTCTCTCTCTCTCTCTCTCTCTCTCTCTCTCTCTCTCTCTCTCTCTCTCTCTCTCCTCTCAACGCACATCCCGAGCTTGGAGCAGGTCAGCACGCATAGTTGGCCCATCGCCTCGCCGCCACGTGCGAGCTGAATCATCCCCGCCCGAAAACCGGTGTGCGTGTACGCGTGTGTGTGTGTGTGTGTCTGTGCGGTGGTGCAGGCGGGCCACCCCCGCTCAGATCAGCACACGTTCCCACTACGGGCCACCGCAGGCGGCACTGACGCGACCGTCGACCTGCTCTCGGCAACTCAGTCTGATGAAGACACCGCTCACCGCTAGAGGTCTGACAGGCCCAAATTGGCAACGGTGTGCAGCTTCCGGGAAGGAATGTGACCAGGTGCGCGCGAGGGACGGGGAGGGAGGTAGTGGAGGGACGGGAGGAGAGAAGAGGGGGTGGGGTGGAGGTCAAAGGGTCCGCTGTGTGCGGATGTGACCCCCGTGTGAGGCGCAGTGCAAAGGTCTCTCGCGAATTCCGGCACTTAAACGGTCTGAGAAGACTCCACCGAGGATAGGCGAGCCATCTTCGCACGAACAGAAGACAGGCAACAGCCGGGCAATATTCGGGAAGTTTCGTGGACAAAGTGGTCTCTGCTCTTCCAGTTTCCATATCATGTGTGGTACCTAGTTAATAGAGCAACTTAACCCTCGCCCATGTAGGGGGGGTTGATGCAACCCCCCCTGAGGTTTTTTGGAAATAGTGCAAAAACGGCGGCGCGCAGCGCCGCCAAATTTTGGGTACCTTATGGGGCAAACCTTGCGCATCTTTTGATAAAAAAAAAATTGACCGGGTCATGTCAGGTCACGGAGTTATGACGTCACAAAGGGAACAGCCTCCGGCCGGATTTTCACAAACTGAGTGCCAACGCCCGAGGTTTCCTGCCGGTGGTACGGACATCGGTTGATGGATCGTGATGAAACTTCCCATGCATGTTGGGGCAAGTATTGGCTATCATATGGTATAAGAAACTTGACCGGGTCAGGTCAGGTCACGGAGCTATGACGTCACAAGAGGAACAGCGTCCGGTACTATTTTTGAAAAGCGCCCGAACCACTATTTTGCTAATTCTTGTCACCTCAATGGGAATATGCAGCAATATTAGCTTCTATAGGGAGCAAATGGACCTCCCAAATCCAAAAATACAATCAGATTTCAAAAATTTAAATTTTGATTTTTCGAATTTCTGCCGCCGACTGTGACCTTGCCGACTTCCGGCGCTCCCAACGCGCCATTTTTAGAGCTAGGGAAACGAAATACATACCAAACGATAGAGAATTGATCAAGGAACACGATAGTGAAGGTTTCAAGTCGATATCTCCCACCGTGTTGCCGCAATCGCCGCGGAAAGTTGAAAAAAGTCTATTTTTCCGAAAATTTGACCTTTGACCGGTCAAAAGTAGGTCAAATGTTGACCTAGGACCAAAAAATATACCACCAATCGCGAGATCTCGGCGAGAGCAATCCGTTGGTCTTTTCCGCTAAGCTCTACGACGCTCCGTTTTCAAACGCCAAGGGGGGGGGGGGTCGCACCAACCCCCCCCCCCCTGCATGGGCGAAGGTGGCAGATCGCCGTTTACGGGCGAGGGTTAAGCGAATAACATGTTCGAAGATTAGTTTGTTGGTTTATTTCTTTGATACATTTTTTTTTCAAATTTAAAACATCATATTGCGCCAAAAAAAAGTTTGAAACGGCCAGTAATTAACTGAGGCTAAACCATCCTGTGTGTAGGTATAAGGTAGGTGTAAGCTGCAATCTACTTGGAAAATCCTGCTCTACCTAAACTGCTATTAATGCCATTCCCATGAACTCTGCGCCGCTGATATACGCACAAGTATTTTTAGATGTTGGCTAGCCTCGCAACTATTTTACTTAGAAACAAGAGTCTATGATAATTGCGACAAAGGCGGCACCATGCCTGCGTCCTTCGCATAAGCCAAGCTGAGACATTTTGTGTAAGAGCTAACTTGTAGTTTCCAGGCGCAATTTGCGTCCACATGGGCAGACGCAACTCACAGTCGTCTCTAAATAGCACTCAAAACTGAGCTTTCCCAACGCTCAAGCCATCGCACGCCTACTTCAGCGCTCTGATCCTGTAGTTTGCATTCCAAAGCCGGTTGACGTCCTTCACTGCCTGCCGGAGCTCAGGCACCGCCAAAACCTTGGTGCAGTGGTCACTTGTCACCAACGGTCACCAAGGGTCACCGGGTGCGGAACGACACCAGCCTTCGGTATCATAAGCTGTCGCCATCACCAAAAATCGGTATCTCAATCTTCGTTCGGTGAAATAAACGATGCGCCCAACAACCGTGGCCACCTATGTGTCCAACTACATGCATCCACCTCTTCGTCCACCAGCCTCGTCCACCACGGCGAGTCCACCAGCCGCGTCCACCACGGTGAGTCCACCAGCCGCGTCCACCACGGTGAGTCCACCGGGCTGAGCGGTCAGTGACCCGCTGTCGTGGCCGGTCCGGCGCAGCGCCATTCGCTTTCACTGACGGGATCGACAGAGCGCGGCCGGCCGGCTCCACTTTCCTGACTGGACAGCTCGGCGGGGGCGGTGTAGGAGTTGCCGGGTGTCGCCCCGGCGAGGCCGTCGATCATAACTCTCATGAGCAGCGCGTGAAAGGCGGTCTGCCGTGTCGGCCCACGCTGGCATTAAACGAGGAGTGCTCCGACCGGTCAGCAACGGCCACCGCGGCGCCGCGGTCAGCGGGTGCGCGGTGCGAGCGGTGGCTGACGGGTAGAGGTAGCGGGCAGCGTATCGGAGGGATGGGGTTGATGTGGTGCAGCGGGGGCGGACAGGAAATGGGTAACTGGGCCAGAGCCGAGAGTCTGCCGTGGCCGTCCACCGCCAGTGGTGCTCTCACGACTCACGGACGCGGCAGGCCCGGCCGTTTGAAATAATGAACATTATACGGCTCGATCACGGATAGAAAGGCCGGTAACGGGCGATTCGTGGCGCTCATTCAGGGCGGGGGACGCGGGCGGGGGCGGTGAACTGCCCGGCCCAGGCCGGCGTGATGCAACTCAACACGAATAATACATATCAAGCAGGCATTCGAAACGAATCGAATCGAAGTGCTAATGGATGTCACGAATTAGGTAAATGTCAACTCATGGTGAGAAGTTCCTACAACAGATACTGAACGCTCTGGATATGAGGAAGTTCTCACAAATGGTAAAGTCGACGGATCAGTGACATCTGTGGCCTGTGGGGTCCCTTTCATTCCACCACAGAGTAAAAATATGGGCTACACAGATAACTGTCCACTAAATCACATTCACAACGTGCCTCGACTATTTCGCTTACGAAGAAAATCAATCAAAGCACTTTGAAGCTAAATTCCACCATTCTGGCGCCCTTTCTCTTCAGCGATATATATTCGTACCTTTAAGTTTCATCAGGATATTGAATTTGCTGAGTGAAAGCAATGATCAAATACAAATTCCCTTTCAAATGCTACATTTTAGCATTTCACGGCCGAGAGCTGCAGCCATCTTGTACGTTTTGTTTTTACGCTTCAAGAAATCACGTTAGAGTTACATACAGAGGGCCAAATTCGGCTCAACTGACATTTGATATAGCCGGATTTTTTTCGACATCTATCGCATGTTTAAGTTTGCAGGTCAAGTCGCGGACCTTTGACGCCACACTTTACACGACCTAAAAACTCCGTAACTTTGCCACTTTCTCGATGCCTGAAAATTAATTTTTTGTTGCAACGAAAACAAAAGCTTAAAAAACTGGTAAGCTCCTATGTCCTTCACTTGTATGCCTTGGGTTTTCCAAAAAATCACCTGAAAAATATACCATTAACAGAACACCATGAAAACTACATCATAGGACGCACATAAATAGGAAAGTGCAGAGGTTCCGGAATCCTGGGGCTCTTTGACGTTTTGCCGATGCCATTTACCACAACAAAAATCCGATCTGTGGATCGTTCACCAGACAATTTACGTAAGACGTGGTTGCCGCAGCTAACCCATGATATTTTCAATCGGTTACGATCTGCTGCCTCTCTTGACGGTCAGAAGCCAGCACGCTGCGTATTATGCAAAGTCGGTAGGCAGAAAATCGATAGGTCTAAGGTTAAAATGAACTGGCAAAACTACAGCTCGTTAACTAAATACCTACTACAGATTGGTAACTTAACTAAATTGCATGAGCGCTGCAGTTTTGAGATCAAGTCAGCAAACTATGCTTC